TTCGCCGCGCTGGTCAAGGTCGTGCTGCTGGGGTCCGTAGCGCTGCTCATGATGGTGTTGCTGGAGTCCGTCATGCTGCTCACGGTCGCGCTGCTCCAGTCCGTCGCGCTGCTCACGATGGTGCTGCTGGAGTCCGTCGTGCTGGTCACGATCGTGCTGCTGTGGTCCATCATGCTGCTGGCGATGGTGCTTCTGGAGACCGTCATGCTGCACGCGGTCGTGCTGCTGGAGTCCGTCGTACTATCCCCGGTGCTGCTGCTCGAGTGCACGGTGACGTTGCTGGAATCCATCGTGCTGCTCACGGACGCGCTGCTGGGGTCCGTCGTGCTGCTTACGATGGTGCTGCTGTAGGCCGTCCTGCTGCCCACGGTTGTGCTGCTGGAGTCCGTAATGCTGCTCACGCCGATGCGGCTGAAATCTTCCACGCTGCTGGCGGTCCGTGGTGCTGGAGTCCGTCGTGCTGCTTACGATGGTACTGCTGGCGCCCATCATTCTGCTCACAATGGTGCTGCTGTAGTCCGTCCTGTTGCTCATGGTCGTGCTGCTGGAGGCCGTCGTGCTGCTCCCGGTGCTTGTCACTGGAGCTTATCTTCAACGCTGGAGCTGATGCTGGGGTTGATGCTAGCATCGATGCTGGCGTCGATGGTGGGGCCTGTGCTGGTGTCGATGCTGACGAGGGCGTCAGCCTGGGCGTCGGGCCCCGCTGCGCGCCCGACGGGGCGTTAGGCTGGAGGCACTGCCGCCGGGGCTCAAGATGGCCTGACGTCCTGCCTCCTCTCCTCCCCCGCCGCCGCAGCAGCCGCCATCCCGCTGGTCTCCTTCCCCCCCCCGCCGCCGCCGATTCCTGGGCCTCCGTCGCCTCCCATAGATCCAGGTCGCGGTCCTCCTCCCCCTCCCGCTCTGCTCCTTGGCCTGGGCGTGCTCCTGGTCGCACGCGTCGGCCGGGATGAAGGGCAGGAGGGTCGAGGGAGCCCTGGTGCTTGTGTTGCTGGTCGTAGTCGTGGTGGCGGTCGTAGTCGTTGTCGTCGTAGCGGTGCTGGTCGTGGTTATAGTTGTGACTGTTGCTGTAATCGTGGCTGAGGCCGTCGTACATGTGGTCGAGGCTAGTCTCGGCTGGAACCTGGATGACAATGTACTTGTACTTCGTGCTCCGATGCTCGGCGGCACGCGAGGGGGGAAATGAGAAGGAGAAGGCCTTCTCAGAAGGCGGCGGGGCTTCTCACAAGCCCTCGCGCCTTCTCACAAGTTTTCTGTGCCTTCGGGGCAGGCTTGGAAACCTTCTCAGAACGCCAGGGGTCTTCCGAGCCTTCTGAGAAGGCCCGCCCCTTCTCAATTCCCCTCCGGCTCACCGCCAATATGTGTCTGGTTCTCCTTCGGGTGCCTGCGGATGGCCGCCTGGTCGCGCTGAAGTTCTGGTGGTCGCAGGAGCTGTAGGGGTCGAGGTCGGCGCTCCTCTCGTGGTGTGTGGGTCGCTGTCGCAGTCAGGAGGCAGCTGGTATCACCGCATCGCGGTGGCTGCCGTCTCCAGGCCGCGTGTGCAAGCCGCCCCGCGAGCGCTGCGAAGCGGCCTCGCGCCGAGGCGTGGTCGAGAGTGGGCGTGGCCGTCCGCCTCGTCGATGCCGCTCAGCTCGGCGGCGGCAGCTGCCGAGTGCGCCGCGGGCTCCGCGGCCGCCACGGCGCGGGCGCTGCCTGCGGCCACCGCGTGGGCCGGGCGCTGCGCGCGTCGGCGCCCGCGGGAGGCCGGCGCCCCCCCCCCCCCCCCCCACCGGGCGCGGTGGGGGGTGAGCCCCCGCTGGTGGCGACTTCCAGCTCGTCCTCGTCGTCCGCCTCCTCCTCGTCTTGCTCCTCCTCCGCCTCCTCCGCCTCCTCCTCCTCCTCCTCCTCCTCCTCAGGCTCCTTCTCCTCCTCCTCCTCCTCCTCCTCCTCCTCCTCCTCCTCCTCCTTTTGTTCGTTCCCCTCGTTGCCCCAATCGTCCTCGTCCTCCTCCTCGGCCTGAGTGGTCTTCCATGGGTGGCCTCGTGCTCAGGGGTCTTTTGCAGATCTAGCCCCCTCGGGCCTTCTGCCCTCCCCTGGCGCCCCCGCCCCAGGGGCAGGCGTTCGCCGTCGGCGCTGCGGTCCAGCTGGGTCGGTGCCGCACCGCTCGTGCTGCGTGTCGGGGCCCTGGTGCTCAGTTGCTTCGCCCTTGTTTAGGGGGCGGCTGGTATAAGAGAGTCTTTTCCGCCGTCGGGGGCGCCTGCCCCCCGGGCGGCTGCAAAGTTTATACCCCTGCCACGTAGGAGTATACTTCCCAGGGGCAGGCGTCCCCGACGGCGGAAGAGTTTATTTTATGCCGTTCTTCGCCCTCGGACTTGTGGCGGGGGCCCCAGCCCGTGAATGCTCCAGTCACACGCGTCGGTCTTTGCAAGAGGTGTTTCAAGTTGGCAGCCTGATTTGCCAGGTCAGGCTGCTTTTCAAGGCCTCCATCTGCGAGGAAACTGCGCACTGGTTGAAGCCCCTGGGGTAAAACAACCAATCATCGTCGTCGCACCCTTCCTGCTCCCAAGCCCTCCTTGGCTGGGTACTCGTCTTGCACAGATCGCTGCTGCTCCTCCTCGTCCCCTCCCCCCGCCTCGTCCCCTCCTCCTCCTGCCTCCTTCTGCCTCCTGCCTCCTGCCTCCGACTGCCTCCTGCAACCCCCTGCCTGCCTCCTGCCTCCTGACTCTGCCTCCTGCCTCCTGCCTCCTCTGCGTCGACTGCTGGCTGCGCCGGGCCTCGGGCCCGAAGGCGCCTGCCTCGCGGGCGGATGCAGCCGCTCGCTGGCTCCGCGGGGCCAGCGGCACCAGGGAGGCGTGTCTTCCCCGCCCTCTCCACCTCCTCCGCGTCGTGCGTGCGAGGCCGTGCGCGAGTTGTGCCAGGGTTACGTCGGGCCTGTCCCTCTACAGGGGGAATCTTCAAAAAGATAGGAAATAGTCTGGGGACCATTTTTGGAGCATTGGGATATTTTTTGGGGGGGTATTTTTTATTTTTCGTTCAAAATCCCCCTGTAGGGGGACAGGCCCGACCTAATGCCTGGGTACCAGAAACCTTGCGGACGCCAGTGTTGAGGACGCGTGAGACTGGAGTTTGCCAGAACTCTTGCTTGCCCTTGCATTTTGACGGCCTCGGCGTGAGTTTCGACGGTCCAGGTTTCGCGAGATGTGTGCAGCATGGGCTCGCGTCACACTTCAGACTGAGGCCCCTCGTTTTTCTGACGGCCCCCTCAGGCAAACTCGAGTCTCCCAAGCTCATTTTCGATTTTTTAATTCAAAAACCCGTCCTTTTGTTAAACTCAGAAAATCAGGGCTGGACCTAAACGGTGTTTTGGCGATTTCGTGGGCCGTTTCCGTTCCGATTTCGTTCTGTGGTGAAGGCGGATCGAAGACACAACGAGGGAAAAAACGAGAGCAAAACGAAAACGAAAAACACCGTTTAGGTTCAGCCCTGGTTGAATTCGAAAACCCAGTCTCACGTCTCCCCAGCAGCTGCCCCGACTGCTTCTGCGGCGAGGGGCGGTAGGCTGGGCGCCGACCCGGCGTGTCCCGCGCTGTGGGCTGTGAGCCCGCGCGCGGGGGAGCCACGCCGTGGCGCTGACGTAGCAGTGGCGTCGGGAGTTGCTGTTTCGCCATCGTCGCAATCCTCCTCCTCCTCCTCCTCCTCCTCCTCCTCCTCCTCCTCCTCCTCATCGTGTCAGGAGGAGGAGGAGGAGGAGGAGGAGGAGGAGGAGGAGGAGGAGGAGACGTTCTCCTTCTCTCCTCCTCCTCCTCCTCCTCCTCCTCCTCCTCCTCCTCCTCTTCCTCATGGGGGGGCCGCCAGATCAGCCCGTGGGGCCACCTCGGGGCCGCCGGGGCCCACCTGGGGGGGCGCGTTCCCAGGAAGGGCTGATGCGTGTGACGATGATATGCTGATCTTGATGATTCTGGTGGCGAGATAATGGCGATGATGTGATCAAGTTGATTGTAATGGCCTCCGGCCAGTCCCGCCGATCGGGGGGGCTCCGGATTCGGTGATCTTCGCGGCACTGTGGCCTCCTCCCTCCTCGATTCTTCCGGTCCTCTTTCTTCTCCTCTGGGGGGGTGCCTCGAGCGGTCCCTGGGGTGGGTCCGGGGAGGGTTCCGAGGGGAGGGTCCTGGTGGCGGTAGCCGCTAGATCTGAGGGGGTCATTGGGACCCCCCGAAACATCTTCTTGGGGATGCGCAAATCAGCAAGAAAACGCCAGATGGGGGACCGCCCCCTCCCCCCCCCCCTCTTCCCTGGGGGGGGGGTCCGGATGCGCAAAACATGAAGAAAACGCCAGATGGGGGACCGCCTCCCCCTCTCCTCCTTCCTTCCCCGGCAGAGCCACCCAGGCGACCCACCCCAAGCAGAGCTGAAGCTCTTGCTTAAGCTCAGAGCTGAAGCTTTTGCTGAGGCTCCTTGTAGTTCACACGCCAGATCGGCGGATTTGAACATGCATGCAGTCGATTGTGATACTGCACAAGGTAGTGGTGAGGACGCACGTCAGGATGAGTGAGGAGGAGAGGTGGGGAGCGTGGTCATGAGGGGTATGAGGACGACGAACGAAGACGACAGTGATGGTGGCAATTATTGTTCATAATGTGTATCTTGGTGACGATGATCGTGGGCAATGTTCGGGCTACTCTGTGCTTGCTGGTAGTGATGATGGTATTGCATTCGTCGCGACGATTATGGTGATTTGCGTTTTGTTTTTACGCGGCAGTGTTGTTGAAGGGCGTGGGACACATCTGATACAATTATACGCCATGGCCTTGGCCTGAGCACGATGCTGATATGTATTCACCATCCCCGGATTTCCCTGCTGGGCCGATGGGTGACCTACCAAGGTATTTCCCTTACCCCATGGCACGGTGGAAGAGGGGGCAAAGGGGAAGCGGAGAGGAAGATGCAGCGGGGGGGGGGGCGTGCCGGAGGGGGTGACAAGCCGTCTCGGAGTGGGTGTGTTCCGTGCTGACCCCGAGCCCGAGGTGCCCTTCCGGAACGGGGAGACCCTGAGCTTCCCGAAGGGCGAGCTGCCTAAGGCCTACACCGTGGACGTGCTGAGGAAGGTGGGCACGGCGCAGGTCAGCGTCGCGGGCATCAGCGCTCTGGGCGGCACCGTGAGGCACGAGCAGCTCGAGATCCCGAGCCTCGAGATCGCAGGGTCGCCCTTCAGGGCGAGCTTCACCGCATCGCTGCAGCAGGAGCCCGAGCCCCGCGTCGAGGGCTCGAAGAAGCACTTGGCGGCCGCGCGCGCGAAGGAGTACCTCGAGAAGCACGGGGTGGAGCGCGTGCTGCACAGCATGTTCGCACAGCTGCTGGAAAGGCAGCCCCTCGATCCCCTCACGTTCATGATCGACCACCTCGAGCAGGTGCAGGACGAGGCGGAGGGCCGGGAGGTGGAGGAGCGCGACTTCGAGCTGGAGCCTGGTCTGGGCGACTTCGCCCTGCCGGGGCTCGCGGACAGCGACGAGGTGCCCAACCTCAGCAAGCACCACAGCTTCATGGTGGACGTGCTCCGAAAGGACATGAGCATCCTCGAGCGGCTGGGCGACAGGAAGACCTCCCTCGGCGTCTCGCTGCTGCAGTGCATCAAGCCGGGGATCGACTGCCAGGGTCACGAGCTCGTGAAGGCGGCCTTCGGGAAGTGTCGGCACCTGTGGCTGCTGGAGTCGTGCCCTGGGATCCCAGAGGGAACCGTGACCATGGAATGTGCGTGCTCCTGAGGGCAGGCAAGCACCCACAATCCATGTCCACATCTCCCAGGGGACCCGGGGCAGCGCTCCAGAGATGGTGGGTGCGGAGATGTTCTGACGGCGAAGGTGGCAGGAATCAGCGCCGGAGACCAGGAGTGCTTCGAGCTCTTCAGCGAGGTCTTCAACCCCGTCATCAGCCAGCTGCACCCGGGCTGGTCCCCCGAGAGGTCTCACTGCTGGGACTCGGACCCCGACCGGATCGAGGACGTCACGATCGACCCGACTGGTCGCTACGCCGTCTTCGCGAGCATGGAGACCCGCCGCAACTTCCAGGGCCTGCGCATGTCGACCTGCTGCTCCAAGGACGAGCGGCGCGCGGTGGAGCGCATCGCGACGTTGGTCATGGAGACCGCCACCGGGGAGCGGCGGCGGTGCCTAAGATTAAGTCGGGCCTGTCCCTCTACAGGGGGAAGATTCAAAAATAGTCAAAAAATAGTCTGGGGACCATTTTTTTGATATTTCTGGGCTTCTTTTGAGTATTTTTGGGGAATTTTTGGGGTATTTTTTGAGACCTCGCCAGAGTTGCCTCTGGTGCCGGCCCACAGGGCCTCGCCACCGCCAGAGCCGGCGCGCGTGCGCGCTCGCCTGGACTCGGCCCTCGCGCGCTGACCCCCGAAGGGCGCGCACCAGAGGCCCCTCTCGCCCAGGGCCGCTCCTGCGTGCACTCTGGATGGGACAATAGTGCCCCCCCCCCCTCTTCCCACTCCCTCTTGATCCGCGGGGGGGAGGGGGTTGGGCACGTGCTGTCGGAACGGGTCAAAAGGGTTCGAGGAGGAGGAGGAGGAGGAGGAGGAGGAGGAGGAGGAGGAGGAGGAGGAGGACTGACTGACTGACTGACTGACTGACTGATGAATCGGACCCAACGTGTCGTCACGACCTTGCAGCTACACTACCTTGCAGAGTGTACTAAATCAGTCTGACATCTGGGTCTATCTGGGAAGCCCCATCACTCGCACAGGTGCGCAAGCGTCACAAAATACGCATTGGCCCTGCAGGCAGGCCACTCCCGCACTCGGTCAGGCTGGCCGCCTGCGGGCACTCGAGAGTCGAAATTGCTACACAGTGCTCTGCTGTTTACCTCCGAGCGGAGGCTTGGCCAAAATATCCCGCCAGGCGTTCGCGTGCAGTCAGCGTAGACATACGCATTGGCCCTGCAGGCAGGCCACACCCGCACTCGGTCAGGCTGGCCGCCTGCGGGCACTCGAGAGTCGAAATTGCTACACAGTGCTCTGCTGTTTACCTCCGAGCGGAGGCTTGGCCAAAATATCCCGCCAGGCGTTCGCGTGCAGTCAGCGTAGACAAAACATTTAGATTGCCTCGCTTCCGACAGATGTGCCGCCTGAGTGTAGTCTAGGCTCCGATAATTTTCCTTTACGCCCCCTGCCCTTGCCCTTCTGCGGACGTGGTGGGTCTGGGCGAGGAGTGAGAAGGGTCGAGTCGAAGTTGGAACGGAGGACAGGAGCAGGCTGGCTGGGCTCACGTCTTGGCGGCAGTCTACCTGCTGCCACCAGATCCCTATAGCGGGCGCTGTCTCTAAAAACTGGAGGGGCCGAGAGTGTCTCTCGGCTCAAAACTGCTGGCATTAGTCTAATGTACCGTCGTGGCGCTGTGTCTTCCTCATCTGGCACCAACTCGAGGATCGGTGCCTCTTCTCTCAGCTCTTCGTGTAGACTAGCTTCGTGAGGCCTCGCTGCAGCGGGCCCCTGGGTGCTCCCCCCAGCTTGCGCTGGCCCCCCTCCCTCTTGATCTCCTTGATCAGGACCTCCCGTACGGCCCGCAAGTCGGGCACGTGCAAGTCGAAGGAAAAGATCAGCCGCACTTTCTCCTTGCTCTGCTTCGGCTGCTTGTTCGTCTTCGCCTGGTAGTGTTTGACGCACGTGCCCAGCATCTCTGGGTCCTCCAGGCACACCACCTTCTTCCAGAACTCTCCTAGGATGGCCTTGTCGTCTGGCGGGACCACCTCTGCTATGTTCTTGATCGCCGCCGCGATGACGACGAGGTGCGGCGGGCCCAGCGCTGCGAGGTCGACATTGGAGTCGCTCGCGTGCTGCTCTTTCAGTTTCTGCACGTCGTCGTTGTACTGCTTGCCCGCCTGCGTCGAGATGGCCGCCATGGGCTTGTCGGCGTCGAGCTCCCAGCACTCGTAGACCACCGCCTTCATGTCCTCCACGTCCTTGGCCACGGTGAGCGAGAGCTTGGCCGTCATGACCGCCATCTCCTCCAGGCGCTCGTAGTCCTTGTCGCGGCCGCTGCCCTTGCCCTTGGTCCTGGACTCCTTGGCCGCACGCGTCGCGTCCCTGTCCACCTGGAGCGTACGCTTGCCCGCCCACGCTGGTGCCATCTCGAAGTCGTTGGTCGAGGCCGCCGCCGCTGCCCCAGCCGCTGGCGCCGCGTCGGGCATAGCCCTCTGGTCGGGCCTGGGTCGCAGTCGGGCGGGCGCAGGGGCCCGTCGGAGCAGCTGGCTGAAGAACTGCTCTGGGGAAATGGCTACGGAGGTGCTCGTAGAGACGTTGTTTGTCGTTATCTGCATATCCACACAGTTGGCATTTCGGGGCGAAAGGCTCGATCGGTCGCATCGTCCGAGTTCTGTCCGACGGGCAGCGTCCTGTAAGGAGCCCCCTCATCAAGTGCCGTGCCGCCGTACTACGCTCTCCGAACACAATGCCACAGTTCACACACTCGTTAGTAGGTGTGAGTAGGGACGCCACGTTGCTCAGTTTGTGTTTGTTACGCATGTGTGACATAAGCGCCTTACGTGTACTGAAGCATGCACCACACACAGGGAGAATCATGTTCTGTCGAGGGTCGTTGGCTGACATCACATCCTGAACACCCCCTGCTGGATCCACTGGCCCCGCCTGCAAGTCGGCAGTCGCCGTCGTCGGCGCAGTGTCGCCACACTCGGAGGTGGTATGCGGCAGGTCCACTATCTCACATTTCCATGGAGCAATTTCCGCTAGCACCGTCTCCTCCTCTGCTACATCTGCTGCTGCTGCGTTGGCTCCTGGGCTTGGGAGGCCTGGGGGTGGGATGGTACGGGCCCTGAACGCCTGTCGGAGCTCCTTGGGGTCGAGGACTCTGAGGGCCTCCTGGAAGTCTGGCTCGAAGAAATTTCCGGGTCGGATGTCCAAGTCATTTAAGTTACTTACAAACATGTCCGTGCGGCACGCCTCCTCAAGGTCCTTAATTATTCTTTGCGCCCAGGCATTACACCGTGGATGGAGCGTGCCGTCGTCACAGACCGTCGGCTCCGGCTCCATAGCAAGTTGTCCGAAAATGGCTGTAAGTACTTGCTGGTGCGCCACGGGGTTGAGTAACATTTTTCTGATCCAAGTGAGGCGTCTGACGATTGCTTCCATTTGTAGTGGCAGGATTCGCCAGTGTCGTAAGACTTCATAACTCGTGAGACTCCGAACCGTACCGTCGGGCTGGTAGGTGGTGGCTTTGCCACGCATGGCCCTCCGAGCTAGTCCCGCAACCGTCATCGTAAGAGTCCTATACTCGGCCTTAGTCGGTAAGAAGCTCTCGATACAGCTGAGCCCAGTATTGACTACCTTACAGATCAGGACCGCCCGTTTCCACTTGAACGGTACCCCCGCTTTGTACCAGAACCCTCCCATCTCCCTGTATGCCCTCATCATAGCATGAATACGTTGTGGCAGCTCCGCTCCGTACGTGTGCACAGTGTTGATGTGTGGTCCTAAGTATCTAGCCGACTGCACCGTGCGTCCTGGAAGTGCATGTTGTTTTGTGCGTAACTGTCTGTACTGTGCCGTCGTACCCCTACCCTGCAGTCTGACAAGGTTCTCTTGTTTGTCGCGGTTCTGAGCCAGGCCGAACTGCTGAAGTCTCTCGTCGAGCATGTCATCAGCCAGTCTGGCTTGTTGGGAAAGGTCCGCTGCAGCCTGATCCGAGGTGCTGACCAGTAGTTTCTGCAAATCATCCGCGTATTTGAAGAGACCTAAGTACTGTGATTGTTCGAAGAACGGGCAGCGTGCAATGAGCAGGTGATCCTCTGGCAGGTTCTCGAGACATGCTATTTTCCACTGCTCGACGGGGGGGGCAAACAGGGCAACAAAATTGTAAACCATGAATGGATCTCCGATGAGGCCCCCACATCCTGGTCGTATCATTGTCGGCTCCTCCTGATCCCTGCATGGCACTGTGAACGCACACTGTCTGTACCTCTGCTCCCCGACCTCCCACAACTCCTGTGGTAGCAGTGTCTGTGTAGCAGCATCCATTCCCGTCCAGTGTCCACTCGCAAAGGCGTTCGTCATGTCCTTCATCACTACTGAGTAGGACGCCCCTGCCCTGGAGAGCCTGTCCTGGGTGACCAAGCTGGCTAGTACTGCTCCCTCCCGTCTCCGTCCCTTCACAAAGCCGTAGTCCTCATCCCTCCAAGGTCGTCCTGCTCCTCTCTCTAGTTGGGCGGCGTAGTAGCATTTGCCTAAGGGGTCCAGGACGTGGTAGACTCTCTTGCCTTGGGGTCCGAGCTTCCCGTTCTTTCTGACAGCTGTGGCCTCACTGATGTGCCAACTAACTGGGGTCTTCTTTTGGACACGGATCTGTCGGAAGGCTTGTTCGAGTTGGATTCTGAAATTCCTGGGAAAGACCTTGCCCTTCTCCGTGCCCACGCCAGCTCTGTCCTGGACCTCGGGAGGTCTAGTGAGCAACATGCGCCACGCCTCTGCTGGGGCCGAGCCCAGGGGGTGTGCCCTACGGAGCCCCGAACGATACAACTTGCGTGCCACACGTTTCATGTCGTCCTTGGCGCCGTCTATGGCCTCGTTCAGGGCTGCAAAGTCTAGGGGGTAGGTGGTGTTCCTCGACTCCTCAAGCATCTCCTCCCTCGTAGTGGGTGCCGCCTCCATACCTCCCTGTCCTCCTGGCAATCTCCAGAACTCCTCCCACTCCTGTCTGGTCGGCATGCTCGTCCTCACACTGCGGTAGTTGTGGCGTCGTGGTCCCAACTGTGTACCCGCGAGTAACCGACTGAGACGTCCCACCTCTGCTATATCCCTGCGCCTCCATGCTTCCCACAGCTCCTCCACCCTCTCTGCTCCTATCCTCTGCTGCGCCTCTCTCCTCATCCTCGCACACTTCTTGGTCAGGGCTTTGAGGCGGGATGCTACATTGATCATCTGTTGTTCCGTGCCCTCTCCCTGGAGCTCCCGAAGGTCCCGTCGCCTGGCGAGGAGTGCCTGGCGGTCCTGCTGGAGTCGGTGATACGTGTCGTCCCGCGCAGTATCCTTACAGAAGTGTTTCTCGGCCAATCTGCAGACAATCTCAGAGAGGGCTCCAATGGTGTCGTTGCTATCTCCCTGCCTCCTGATCTCGTCCAGCTCCTCCTCTCTCCTGGCTACCTCCTCCTCCACCTCCCTAACAAAGTCGGTCCTACCCACATTTCGGCGCACCCCTTCTACCAGAGCCTGTCGGTTCCACCTGGGTCGTTGTCTGACTTTCGAGTAGTAGTGCCGATGATTCATGGCCACTGTGACGTGGGTGGGTATGTGATCTCGGAGTCCGCGACTGCGTATGACCTGGAGTCGTCGTCCCATACGGCTGAGTGGTCCCATCGTTGTAGTCCGTTCACGCCACTCCTGTGGGATCAGTATGTAGTCGATCAGAGAGGCATGGGTCTCCGTGAAGTAGGTAGGTCGCCATTTATCTTGTGTGCCCACTGCAAATAGGTGATGTCGTTCGGCCAGCTCGCGGACGCGTTGGCCCGCGCCTCCAGGTAGGCGCTCCGGGGCCCCTCCAGGGCCGACCGCCCAGCTGTGCCTTGGTTCACCCTTGGGGGTCTGTCCTAGGCCGTCATTGAGGTCACCTCCGATCACGATTGAAGTATTCGTGCCACAGCTCGTGACCTGTTGGTCGATCCAGTCAGTCAGGGCAGTCACAATACGCATGTACTGTTGGCGTTCCCGTGCGGTACGTGGTTGTGGAGGATAGTAGACACATATATATTTGGTCCGTTGTTTACCCAGGGATAGTGTAACTGCTACTCCTCTACCGTGTAGTTCCGATGGTGGTTCTGCCGTGTCTAGTAACTGCGCATGTTTCCATTTACCCCGCCAGAGGATCATACACCCCGTAGACTTATTGCTGTAGGCAGCCCCCTCTCTCCATCCTCCCTCGACAAACCTGCACCCCCCTTCCCCTTCGCTGGCTATGTAGCCCATCTCCATGGACTCACCTGGGCGCCGGCGTCTCCCCGTCCCCGCCAGCCCCACTACGTCGAAGTTCCTCGCCTCTGTGCATATCTCCTGTAGTCGGTCCGCTGCACAGTGCATGGGGTTGTAATACAGCACTGCGAGAGAGGTAGCCATCGCCCCGAGCCGCCCCCTGAAGTAAGGTTTTAGGGGCATGTATGTGTGAGCAGGGGAGGGGTAAGTGTCCTCCTACAGTCCTGCAGCCACCCTGGGGATCACCGCTTGACCTCGCGGTGGCTTGGAGGAGGAGGAGGAGGAGGAGGAGGAGGAGGAGGAGGAGGAGGAGGATGAGGAGGAGGAGGAGAAGGCGGAGGCGGAGGGGGAGGTGGAAGATAAGGGAGGAGGGGGGGGGAGGGATGGGTCAGTTCCGTCGGAAGGTCAATAATCGCCCTCCCTTGATAAGTATCCCATCTAGTGGCCGAGGAGCAGAAGGGCACCTACTACCCCCTGCGCATGTCCCAGAGCCACGAGCCGAAGCCGGGCGGCATGACGGTGCACCAGGAGGAGCGCCTGCGCGGCGTGGGGCTCCTCTTCGCGGAGCCAGACTCCAGGATCAAGCTGTCGGCCGGCCTGGGCCGCCACTGGCCGGACGCGCGCGGCGTGTTCGTGGGCGAGATGCAGGGCCTGTACACGTGGTGCAACGAGGATCGAATGGCAAACATCGCGTCAAACATAAACCCTCGGAGTTCCGTGCGGATCTCGTGGATCTGCGCTGGAGCCCGCTGTCAGCGATGGGGGCCCAGATCAGATCCCCCCCGGATCGGCGCGGACCGTCGAGAGCTCATGTTTCATATGTAGTTCTTGCTCGTTCTTTTTAGAGGAGGACCATTTGCGGTTCTTCGCTCGACAGCACACCGCCATCGACCTGAAGAAGCTCTGGGCGCGCCTCAAGAGGACGGTGGACAGCATGGAGCAGGGCGCACAGCAGCGCGGGTACAGCTACGCCCGCAGCGACCGCCTGGGCTACGTGACCACAGACCCTTCCAGGCCTCTCGGGACTCTGTTGCTTGCTGCCGCTCGTTCTGCACCGCCCAGACATCAGATGGCGAAAAGCAAAGGTATAGAGCAAACTTTTCCGCTGTCGGTGACGCCTGCCCCCCAGGTGGCTGCAGCGTTTATGCCCCTACGGCGCCACGTTGGGATGTGAACTTTCCCGCTGCCCTCCCTGGGGCAGGCGTCCCCGACGGCGGAAAAGGTTAATTTTCTATTCCGTCCTTCGCCCCCGAACAGAACACTTCTACTGCGTGTGCGTCGGCCCCGCAAGGACGACGCGCACGCTCAGACATCCTTATACGACGAGCTCCGTGGCGGGCGCTCTCTGGTTGTATCGCTCGGGATCGGATATACTGTAATACAGCCCCCTGTCCTGGTGTTGGTGCCAATTTCCAGGCCTCCGATCCCTGTCGTTGCTCGTCACCCCTTTCTTCAGATGTCCGACGCCTTGCCTTTTCGAGCGCACGGTCCCCAGAAGTCCCGACCCTTTCCCCAGGTCCGGCTTTTCATCCCGAGTCGTTCTTGGAAGGCCCCGGGGGCCCGGCGAGGGCCCCCGCAGGCCGACAACGGCCAACACACCGCCCGTCGTGTTCCGTGTTCACGGCGCGAGCGTGTCTGGGAGGAGGGAGCGGGGAGCCGGGCGGGGCTAGGCCTCCCAGATGGGGTCGGAGTAGATGGGGTCGGAGGATCGCGCCGCATCGCCGATGCATCGGCGACGCGGCTCGATGTGGAGCCCGACTTTCTCCACGCCGACGGCGCTCATACGTTGCCCACGTCGCCAATGCATCGTCGATGCATCGTCGGTGCTCCGACCCCATCTACTCGGACCCCGTGGCGCAAAATAGCGAGGTCTTCCGCGCCGACATTCGTGCGTAATCTGCCCGCGAAAGGTGGCGCGTAGGTGCCCCCACTTCCAATGTAGCGTGCCGCGCTGGCGGCCCGCGTAAGCCACCGCGAAGGGTCGCCGCGTCATCTCGCGTAAGACCTGTTTCTGATCGTCGCTCATTTGGGAGGCCTTTAGGGGCGAGGGAAGTCGTGCGGGCGGAAATCGGATCCGTGTGGGCGGAAATCGTATCCGTGCGGACGGAAATCGGGTCACCGAAACATAGTCCAGAACCAAAATTGGACCCGCGCAATCTTCATTGGATCCGACGGCGGTTATCTCATACGCGGTGGCTCAAGACCTCAAACCGTCGTTCCGGGCCCAAGGGGAAACCATTTTCGCCCTGGGGATGCAGACGGACACTCCTCGTCAGCATTCCCGCTGGCAGATGAATCCACTGACTGCATGGGCGGGGGAGGCCAGGGCGGGGCGGGTGCGGCCGGACGGGGGAGGCTGGGGTGCGCGCTGCGCATCTCGGTGTCGCTGCGCATCCCGTTGCTGGCCGAGGCCGCCGACCTCCCTGGGCTGTGCCGGACCTTCGGCCTCCAGTCCACCCAGGACGGGCTCGGGGGTCAGGGGAGGAAAAGGTGCCGATGACCGATGCCGCTACGGTCGGACCGAGGTATGAGACTCGACCAGACGCAAGAGTGACCTTTCGCCAGAGTGACCGTCCGTGCGGGCCCAAAGGGGCCCCCCGATCGCTGAGCGCGAAGCGGTAGCAGCGGCTTGCGCGCCCAGGTGTCACCACCCCGCGTCCCGCGTTCAGCCGCGCACCAAAGGTTACTCTTGCCTAGGGTCACTCTTGCTTGTGACCGAGTAGGGTACCCTACTGTTCTTCGTGTTTGTTGGATGTTCTTGTGCATCATGGGGGGAGGGCACCCTCGAGTGATCTTCTGGTTTGGGGTGTTTTGGCCAGCGGAGGGTCTCATGTTCTTGGTCCCAGGTCCACCGTGCCCCTGCTTCGTTTTCGCCTTTTTAGGCCTCCTGGGAGGCCCTCGTCGCTGCGGCTGAATTCGCCTCGAGATTTTGGTCAGAGCGCCGGTGTCGGCACCTTTTGTTCCCCCCAGGGGGCGGCCAGGGTGGGGGTGGTGACCAGGGGGGACGCTTTCGGACGTTTTCGGTTGGTCGGCGGACGTTCTCCGACGTTTTCGTTGGTTCTCGACGTTTTTCTGGTCTCTGCGTTTTCTGGTTTCGTCGGCGAGCGGCCGCCAGGCCCGAGTTATGGCCCGAAAGCCAGCAGGCGTCGAAGAGGGGGGTGACGACTAGGGGGGGGGGGGTAGATCATGGCGGGGGCCGCGAGATCTCCCTGGGCTTCATGGCCCTATTTTCTTCTTCTTCTTCTTCATCTTCTTTTTCTTCTTCTTCTTCTTCTTCTTCCAGTGCGTCCCCTGGTCTCAGGGCGGACGCAAGGGGGGACAGGGACAGGAGGGGGTTCGAAATCTGCTGCATGAGGCTGGTTTCCGCACTGCCGCCGGGCCTATTCCTCGATGCAGATGTGCCAGAACAGCCGGCTGCGTGAGTGTTTCTCTACCCCGCCTTTTGCTGTCCTGCCCCTTCGCCTCCCCCTCCTCCTCCTGCTCCTCCTGCTCCTCCTCTTCCTCCTCCTCCTCCTCCAACTCCTCCTCCAACTCCTCCTCCTCCGCCTCCTCCTCCTCCTCCTCGGAGGAGGAGGAGGCGGAGGAGGAGGAGGAGGAGGAGGAGGGGGAGGAACAGGGAGAGCGCCTAGCAAGGAAAGCCAACCACCGCGGACTAGGAACACATCAAAAGACATGAGAGTAAGGGGAATAGTAAGACATCTAATCTTACGAACGGTAGTGCTATTCAGAATAATCGTACTACTAATCTTAGTGCGACGCATCATACGAACAAGCGTTGCAATCTGGATACTGATAGCAACGGCTAACTTCGGTAGAGCGGTTGACAGGGCCACTGCTCGGGCTGGACAGTGATCACGTCGGTAGAGCGCTTGACAGCAGTAGCAAGATTCAGTTTCCTCCATCTTCGACATCGGTGCCGCAATCGCCCCGGATGACAATTTCATGTAAATCGTGGTTTGGTACGGCACGGAGTGGGGCCACTCATATCACTTCGCGGAGCTCGGCCGCGACATGGCCGAGCATGGTGGCTGTGAGGTTCTTCCTGTCGCGCTCGAAGCATCGCAATGGCTTCGCAATGATTTCCAGACGTGCAGGCGTGCCCGAGCGCACGCGTGTGTCGCCGATGTTTTGGCACCCCAGCGAGAAGCGTTACGACGAATGTAATGTTTTCCCCGTCTGGCGGCCCCGCTCGGCGGCAGGTCCCGAGTGTCCAATGAAGCTTGATGTTGGTTTCCAGTCTTCGAGGTTGAGCCTGAAACAGTAACAGCACTGACTAGCAGTAATAATACAATGCGTACGAATGCGAGTCATAATGATATTAATCGTACGGAGCACACGATTGCGACGCATACTTAGCGACTAAGAGAGCGGGTGCAAACACATTGAATAATATTACTACCAAGGCGAAGAAACTGTTACGACGACGGAGAAGGAAACCACTACGAATCTTATGATCTACGGAGTATAATATAACAACAACCAAGACGATTGCGAAGAGTAGCATAACGAAGAGGATAGTTGTATTAAAGGGATTCGTATCAACACGAATAGTACGACTGACCACACGACGATTATGAGTACTATTAAAGTATGCGTCATATTACAAGCGGAATGCGATTACGAAGGAAATTCGAAGACTAAGAATATGAGCGCGAACTACAGGAAAGCGAGTCAACACAATCTGATTAACCTAGCATGAGCAGGACACATCATTTTATTACTAACAGTGAGAAGCGGAGGAAGAGGAGGAGGAGGAGGAGGAGGAGGAGGAGGAGGAGGAGGGGGAGGGAGGCGGAAGGAGGGAGACGGGAGGACGGAGACGAGAGGGGGGTGGAGGGAGGAGGAAGAAGGGAGGAGGAAGGAAGGAGGAGGTAGGAGGGAGGAGAGAGGAGGGAGGAGGGAGGAGGAAGGAGGGAGCAGGAGGAGGAGGAAGAGGGAGCAAGGATAAGATAGGAGGGAGGAAGAGGAGGAGGCGGAGGATGAGGATGACCATTATAAACTTGGGGCCATAAGCGATGTTGGAACGCATCCTACATCCAAGTTCCCTACCAGTTCCCACTGAGGGACGTGCCCCACCCTGAAGCGTGCCCAAACACCATTCTCGGGATTCCAACGCCACGAATCAACGTGACTGTTGCGTCTTGACGATCCTGAGTCGTGCCAGAACACCATCCTTTTGACTTCAACACCGCGAGTCAATGCAATTGTTGCTCCCGGTCAAACATGAATCGTTCCAAAACGCCACATCTGGTACGTTGAGCATGGGAGCCCGTGAACCTCTTTCACATGTTTACAACGAATGTGCGCGGCGCTGAAATGAGAGCCCAATTTTGAAAAGGAGCCGCCCTCCATTCGTGAAGCTCTTAAGAATTTTAAAGACGAATGTGTGCGGCGCTCAGGCGAGAGCCACATTTTGAAAACGACCCGCCCTCAATCCGTGAAGCTCTTGCAAGCCTTTAAGACGAATGCGCGCGGCGTTGAGGCGAGAGCCACATTTTGAAAATGGTCCGCCCTCAACCCGTGATGCTCTTGCATTTTTGACGAATGCGCACGGCGCTGAGGCGAGAGCCACATTGTGGAGGCGGCCCGCCCTCAATCCGTGAGGCTCTTGCAAGTTTTAAAGACTGAGGCGAGAGCCACGTTTTGGAAGCAGCCCGCCCTCCATCTGTGAAGCTATCATTTTAAAACAGAGAATCAGCTCCAGGGTCATACATGGCGAGGAAACCTCGGGGAAGACGCCCGGTCGCCCCTTTCGATTGGCCTTGGGGCGCGACAGGGAGGAGTTATTGATGAGGAAAAGAATGGGGGAGGAAATGGGGGATGATGATGCTGATGAGGAGGAGGAAGAGGAGGAGGAGGAAGAGGAGGAGGAGGAGGAGGAGGAGGAGGAGAAGGAGGAGGAGGGCACCCTGCCCAGGAGCGCGCGGCTTGACTATCGGGGGCGTATTGCCGAACTGTATGCGGTGTATCGTCGATTCCAGGTCGATGTTCCGGTTCTCCCCCCGAGCCAGTCCCCCCTATCGTTCCCCCGAAGTGGTGCGGTCGGCGGGGGCGGATGCCCGCGAGTCCGGGCGCCCGCACAGGAGGTCACCAGTGCAAGCCACGGCGGCGTGTGGAGCGTCTCGACCAGCGACTGCCTGGGCACGAGCGAGGTGGAACTCGTGGCCAGGATCCAGGGGACGCCCACCACGTGCGCAGCTGCACCAAACACCTGGCCAGGCCCAACTTGGTCCCAGGACTGGTGCACATGATTTCCTGGCACTGTCAGGGTTGGGGCACGCACCATTCCCAGTTGCAGCACTGGCCTGGACAGGCTTAGTCGGTGTAAACGATTGACTCTTCGTGTGTCCGTCCCCGCCAGTCCATTTAGAAACGGTGCCAAGGTGAGTTCTATTGATCAGGGAATTGTAGGTGCAAGCAGTGGGATAAAGAGGAGGGGCAGCCGTCAATTCGAAGCTCGTGATCAGCTGGAGCAGACTCAGGAGTCGACCGCGCATGCTTTCTCTCAGATTTTTTAATCAGGGAGCCTCTGGCAGCTTACTTGGGCCATCTTGGTCCAACTTGTAAGGCCTTTGGGGCCTTTTTGGGGCCCTCTTGGGAGGGAGACCTTGGAGGCCTCTTGGGACCATGTTGGAGGACATCGGTCGAAGAACGCGAGGTCCCAGTTGCCCTCTTCCCTCTGGAGACCAAACAGTCGCCTCTTGGGGCCCTCTGGCGGCGTTTTTGGGCGCTCTGGGGTCCGTCTTGGGGCCGTCTTGGGCCTCTCTTGGGGCTCTTTTGGGCCATCTTGGAGGCATCTTGAGACGTTAGACTGCAATCGGGAGCGAAAAGGTAAGAATACAACTAGTGGTTTTGCTTAGAATTTGGACTCTCGAAGGCGTCCTTGGGAGGCTCCGTAACCACTTGGAACCGTCTTGGGGCCTCTTGGAATTATTTTGGAGGCTCATCTTGAGCCATCCTGGACTATCCTGCGCCAAGAATGCTCCCGATATGCCGGACACTTTGAACCCATCATTCGTTTTTCAATGATTTTAACTGCGAGCGAACGGGGGGTCCTTCATTTGCCCCGCTCCCCCTGGAGCCCGAAAACTCGCCTCTTAATGCGCTCTTGGGGCAGTCTCGAAGCCCTCTTTGGCCCCTCTTGAGGCTCTCTTGGGACATCTTGGAGCCATCTTGAGGCCCCGGAAGCTCATCGGTCGGAAGCGAAAATGCGATAATATATGTTTTCTCCCAACCATCTTGTGGTGTTGGGTCCTCGTTTTGAAGAGACAGCGCCCCGCGTCTCACTCCTCACTCCTCCGCCTCACCCTCCTCCCTCCTCATATCCCTGCCTCTGCTCTTCGCATGTCATCATCGTCGTCGTCATCAACATCATCAGCATCATCGTCATTCTCATTGTCATCATCATCGTCATCACCATCATCGTCGTCATCATTATCAGCATCATCATCATCAGCAGCAGCATCATCACCATCATCACCATCATCACCATCATCACCATCATCACCATCATCATCATCATCATCGTCATCATCATCATCATCATCATCACCATCGTCATCATCATCGTCGTCGTCGTCGCCGTCGTCGTCGTCATCATCATCACCATCATCACCATCACCATCACCATCATCTTCGTCATCGTCATCGTCATAGTCATCGTCACCCCCGTTTCGGCACAACCCTCAGACGTTTCGTGGCCCCATAGGGAGGTCCAGCAAAGGCCCCAGTGGCACCGTTTGCATGTGGGCGTCGCTCCCGTTTCGGCATAACCCCTCACACGTTTCGTGGCCCCACGGGGAGCTCCAGCTAAGGCCCCAGTTGCACAGTTCGCATGTGGGCGTCACCCCCGTGTCTGCACACCCCTCACACGTCTCGTGGCCCCATAGGGAGCTCCAGCTAAGGCCCAAGATGCACCGTTCGCATGTGGGCGTGTGGCACCGTTCGCATGTGGGCGTCACTCCTGTTTCGGCACACCCCTCACACGTTTCGTGGCCTCGTAGGCAGCTCCACCTACGGCCCCAGAGGCACCGTTCGCATGTGGGCGTCACCCCTGTTTCGGCACACCCCTCACACGTTTCTTAGCTCCATAGGGAGCTAATGCCCAAGTGGCACCGTTCGCATGTGGGCGTCGCTCCCGTTGCTGCACATTTCTCACACGTTTTATGGCCCCATGGGGAGCTCCAGCCAAAACCCAAGTGGCACCGTTCGCATGTAGGCGTCGCCCCCGTTTCGGCACACCCATCACGCAATTCCTGGCCCCACAGGGAGCTTCAGTTAAGGCCCCATTGGCGCAGCCCGCATGTGGGCGACACTCTCGTTTCGGCACACCCCACACACTTTTCGTGGCTCCACAGGGAGCTCCATCGAAGGCCCCAGCGGCACAGCCCGCATGCGGGCGTTGCCCCATAGTGAGTTTCACCTCAGATCGTACTCACAATTGCGGTACTCACAACTGCAGATGGTTGGGTTCTTCACCAGGCTGATCGATTTCTTTGCGATTTGCAGGGGTTTTGGTTTCTTGAGACATCCTTGGGAGGCTCTTTGGCTACTCGGGGCCGTCTTGGATCAGTCATGTAGCCTCTTGGAAGCATTTTGGAGGCCATCTATCGGAATCATAGGATATAGTGTGCGATCTTAGGCGTCATCTTGGGCTCTCTGGAGCCATGTTGGGCCACCTTGGGCGCTCTGACCGCTCCCGGGGCGCCCCGTCCAGACTTGGGTGGAGCGGGGTAGGGGGAGTGCTCAAGCCACCGCCCCCAATTGACGGCCGTCTCGCTCACTCGCACCCGCCCTCCCACCACTGAGGACAGCACAACCCACCCCCACCATCAGAAAGGACTCCACTCCCGACATGTTAATCCAGGACCCCCTGGATCACCAGGTCGGGAGTGGGGGTCCTGGCTGGGAGTGGCCTCAACCACTACCGTAGGTTCACGTCGTGACGACTGGCGGCGACCCTGCCGCCGGCGTTCAACGTTGAACCCCGCCAGCAAGCCAGAATCGGCCGATGTTGAACGATCCGGCGTCTCTGAATCGGCTCATTGTTCAAGGTTGAACGATCCCCGCGGTGTCAAGAACCAACGTCGGGGTCGACACGACTCGGACGGGGCTAGGGCGAGGAAAAAGTCTGTTCCAGAGCGTTCGGGACGCTCTCAGAGCGTGCCAGAACGCTCGGAGCAAGCCGCGGCACCCGATACATCCTCCAGAGCCGCCGGGATCTCAGAGACTCTTGGTTTTCATTCACGAGGGGGAACACACACAGACACAATTCATCGTCGACTCCCAGGAAAATATCGGAAAAAATGGGAAATGGGGGGGAAGACGAAAACTTAGAAAATGTCGGAAAATATAGGGAATTCTGCTATTGTGTCTACTTATTTGTGTGTCTCAGAGATTCTTGATTTATCCTCACCCGATTTTATCCTCGTCCCGGCTTCGTCTTAAGGACACGACCCTCCGTACACCCATCAGGAATCTCAAGAAAAGGCGTAAATTTTGCTGGACTCCACATTTCGCTCAAGAGAATCAAGAATCTGGTCGGGACCCCGGGTGTTCTCTCGGAGCTTCCTCTCTTCGTGAAATGTTCGTACACCTGCACCTGGACTGCTGTCTGAGAGAACGCCTGGCGCGAAGCCGATCTTCTTGGCGCGAGATTTTTTGAACTCCGAGCTGGGGTGTACAGTCAACCCGCATAGTAAGGATGGGCAACCTTCCCGACGGTACCCTTGCATCCTTGCCTCCTCGGCCCATCCTTGGCCGCTTTCGTTGGCCGCGCCCGGTCGGGAAGCTTCGAAATGGGCTCCCAAAAGGCCCCTGCATCCTTGTCGCGCATCCTCACTGTACTGGCTTACTGTACTGGCTCAGCAAACGCCTGGAGCGAAGTCGCTTTTCCCGGCGCGAGGTTTTCCGAGCTCCGAGCTGGGGTGTAAGCTGAAGTCGGGCCTGTCCCCCCACAGGGGAATTTTCGACGAAAAATGAAAAATACACAACAAAAATTGTCAGAAAATAGTGAAAAATAGTATGGGGACTATTTTTTCCGCATTTTTTGATTTTTTTGGGGCATTTTTTTTTTTTTTTTTTTTGTTTTGTTTTTTTTTTTTTCACAATTTTTTTATAAAACATTTTTTTTTGTTTTTTCGTCGAAAATCCCCCTGCAGGGGGACAGGCCCAACAGAAGTGTAGGCAGCACCCGAGCCCCAGCCACCTCGGGCGCGGTGCGGGCGCCGGCCAGGCGCGCAGCGCCCGCGCCGTGCGCCGCGCGGGCCGGGGCGTGATCGTCGTCGTCGTCGTCGTCGTCGTCGTCGTCGTCGGCGTTTCTGCCTCGCGTGCCCGACCTCGCGAGCGCGGCGTCCTCGTCGTCGTCGTCGTCGTCCGTCGTCGTCGTTGTCGTCGTCCGTCGTCGTCCGTCGTCGTCCGTCGTTGTCGTCGTCGTCGTCGTCGTCGTCGTCCTCGTCCTCGTCCTCGTCCTCGTCGTCGTCGTCGTCGTCGTCGTCGTCGTCGTCGTCAGTTACGAAAGTAAAAGGATCGCGGGGCGCCCGCGCATGCTCCAATATTTTTCCACAATTTGAGGGATGGTGGGCTTGCGCCCCTGGGGCAATCTGCTAACACCCCTCGACCCTGTCAACACCAGAAAAAACTCATCGCGGGGCGCCCGAACATCATCCAGCTTTTCCCGAAAAGTGCACGGCGTATGATTCCCAACCGTCCTGAGGTGTTGGGTCCTCGTTCTGCAGAGACAGCGCCCCGCGTTCCTTCCTTCTTCCTCCCCCCCCTCCTCCCATCATCATCGTCATCGCTATCGTCATCATCATCATCATCATCATCATCATCATCATCATCATCATCATCATCATCATCATCATCATCATCATCATCATCATCATCATCATCATCTTCATCAACATCATCATCACCATTGTCATCGTCATCATCGTCATTATCATCATCATCACGATCATCCAAATCAGCATCATCATTCTCAGCAACAACAACATCACCGCTGTCATCACCATCACCATAACCATCATCATCAACATACTCGTCATAGTCATCATCATCATCATCATCATCATCATCAGCAGCATCATCATCATCATCATCATCATCATCATCATCGTTATCATCATCGTCTTCACCACCAGCATCATCGTCATCGTCATCAGCATCAACTACATCACCGCCGTCAACACCATCATCACCATCGTCGTCATCATCATCGTCATCATCATCATCATCATCATCACCATCACCATCACCAGCATCATGTCACAACCGTCATCATCATCACCAGCATCATCATCATCATCATCATCATCACCATCACCATCGTCATCATCATTATCCTCCTCCTCCTCCTCCTCATCATCATCATCACGATCATCGCCATCAGCTTCGGCACACCCCTCACACGTTTCGTGGTCCCATAGGGGGCTCTGCCTAAGTTCCCAGTGGCGCCGCCCGCATGTGGGTGACAGCCCAGTTTCGGCACACCTCTCGCACGTTTCGTGGCCCATAGGGAGCTCCACCCAAGGCCCCAGTGGCACCGTTCGCAAGTGGGCGTCACCCTCGTTTCGGCACACCCCGCACACGTTTTGTGGCCCCTAAGGGAGCTCCAGCTAAGGCCCAAGTGGCACCGTTCGCGAGTGGGCGTTGCCCCTGTTTCGGCACACCCCTCACACGATTCGTGGCCCCACAGTGAGCTCAAGCTAAGGCCCAAGTGGCACCGTTCGCATGTGGGCGTCGCCCTCGTTTCGGCACACCCTTTACACGATTCGTGGCCCCACAGGGAGCTCAAGCTAAGGTCCCAGTGCCACCGTTCGCATGTGGGCGTCACCCTCGTTTCGGCACACCCCTCACACGATTCGTGGCCCCACGGGGAGCTCCACCCAAGGCCCTCACGCGTATCGTGGCCCCATGGGGAGCTCCCGCTAGTGTCCCAGTGGCATGCGACGGGTCGAGCGAGCTTCAGCCTCTCATTCAAGGTCGCGCTCGAGGCAGGACGAGGCACAGGCAGCGGTCTGGGGTCCGAGGCAGAGCGGATTTCTCCATCGGAGGAACAAGTATGCTCAATGCGTCCTCCCGGCCTCCCTCTTCCTTTCCTCCACCTCCTCCTCTCCCTCCTGTTCCTCTTCCTCCTCCTCCTCCTCCTCCTTCCGCTTCCTCGCTCCTCATCGCTCCTCCTCCTTCTCCTCCTCCTCTTTTTCCCAATCATCCTGTGGTGTTGGGTCCTCGTGTTGAACAGACCCTGCGTCCCTCCTTCCTTCCTCCTCCCACTCCCTCCGCTCACCATCAGCATCGTCACCCTCCTTTTTCGGCACACCCCTCACATGTTTCGTGGCCCCACAGGGAGTTCCACCTAGGCCCCAGTGGCGCAGCCCGCATGTGGGCGACACCCCCGTTTCGGCACACCCCTCACACGTTTCGTGGCCCCATAGAGAGCTCCACCTAAGGCCCCAGTGGCGCAGCCCGCATGTGGGCGACACTCTCGTTTCGGCACACACCTCACACGTTTCGTTGCCCCAGAGGAAGCTCCACCTAAGGCCCCAGTGGTGCGGCCCGCATGTGGGCGACAAACCCTTTTCGGCACACCCCTCACACGATTCGTGGCCCCACAGGGAGCTCCACCGAAGGCCCCAGTGGCGCAGCCCGCATGTGGGCGTCGCCCTCGTTTCGGCACACTCCTCTCACAGCTCGTGGCCCCACGGGGAGCTCCACCCAAGTGCCCCGGTGCCACCGCCCGCATGCTTCCCCCACACCGATTTCGGCACACCCCTTACACGTTTCGTGGCCCCACAGGGAGCTCCACCGAAATTTCCAGTGCCACCGCCCGCATGCCCCCGCCCCCCGCTCATTGCGGCACACCCCTCTTACGCTTCGTGGCTCCATAGGGAACTCCACCGAAGACGGTATGTACCATTGTGGTTCTCACAACTGCATATGGTTGGGTCCTTCGCCAGGCTAATTTTTTGGCAGGGTGTGTGGGGGCTGGTAGAGTGAGGGAGGGAGGGGATGTGTATTCATCAGGAGTAGTGATAAATCCTTCCCCGATCGGGAAGAGGGGGTTGGAAGACACAACGCCCTAAACCATCTCAGCCCTCAAGGGCTGGTGGGACTTGGCCCTGCCCAAGGATCAGCAGGGGCTGCGCAGCCCTAGTAGCCCTCGAGCAGCGCCTGGAGAGCAACGAGCCGATTTACGACGCCATGCCGGGCCTGGGCAGCCAGCCCTATCCTGGCTTCTCCTCCGTGTCGTGCCCCAGCAGCATGCCAGACCTCAAGGAGCACCACAGCGCGATGGCCTGCGTGCTGAAGTCCTCGCCAGCAATTTATGAGCAGCTCCGGGACCGGACTACCAGCGCAGGCGTCGGGCTCGCCGCCTGCATCAAGCCTGGGGTCGACGACCCCGGCCACCCCAAGGCGGTCAGCGCCGGCATCGTCGCCGGAGACGAGGCCTGCTACAAAGAGTTCTCCGACTTGTTCTATCCAGTGATACGGGGCCCCAACCTCCCTCATCCCCTCCCTCTCCCGGGAAAGAGGAGAGGAAGATGAGGGTAGAGGAGTGAGGGGGAATGGTTGAGGTATATCATTGGGACCCGCAGGTGATCAACCGGCTGCACGGCGCCGTCGTCCCGGCCTCGGGGCACCCGTTCGACGCCGACATGAGCAAGCTGAGCCTCCGCAGCCTCGACCCGCAGGGCGGAAGCGTCGTGTCCGTGCGAGTGGAGCTGCGCCGCAACGTTCGCGGCCTCCGCCTGGCCCCGTGCATCTCGCACCCCGAGCGCCGCGAGGTCGAGCGCTTGCTGGTGGCTGGCATGGCCGCCCTTGGCGAGGAAGGGCGGCATGGGGGCAATCAGGCGTGCGTCCGTCGAACACCGACATAAGCTTTCGCAGGTCCGCGCGGATTTCTTGGATCTGCGCTGGAGCCCTCTGGCGGCGCCTCTGGCGCCGCCCCCTGGTCCGTTCCGCGCGCCAGGGTAGTGGCCCCAGCGCAGATCCAAGAAATCCGCGCGGACCTCTCAAAGTTTATGCTTACGCCAGGTTTTTGTCCTCTAATCCTCAGCCACGCGCAGAGGGGGGTAGGTGGAGGGGGGAGGGCTTCTTAGAAGCTGCTTCTAAGAAGGCGCGGGCCTTATCTATAGATCTAAGACTGGTGCCTTCTAAGCAGCAGCCTCCTTCTAAGAAGCCCTCTCCCTCCCTCCACCCCCTTGTGCTCGCCGCCAAAGTCCGACGCCCGCGATCAGGGCATTCATGAGCACGATGCGCTACCCTGCGGCTGGACACACTTGTCGACGCGGCCGCCCGCGTGGCTGCCTGCCCCTCCATCGCTCTCGGCCCTCACGCGGCTGGGCACGACGGCCCCCTGGTCGTGAGTCAAGCGCGCGGACCCCGCCCGCGCCCGCGTGTGAATCCAGCCGCGTGCTTGTGTGTGTGTGTATGTGTGCGTATTTCCAGCCTCCTGGAGACTGTTTTTTAGGGTCCAGCGATCACCCAGGTTATCGGGCTTGCCCCCCCTCCCCCCCAGGGATAACCTAACTTTGCCGGTTGTGCAGGTCCGGGGGGGGGGCGCGGGCATATGCAGGGTTGCCCACAGCGCGAAGGTTAGATTATCGGGCGGCTCCCTCCTCCTCCCCCCCCCCGATAACCCGGCTTATCGCCGATTCCCCAAAAACGGTCCCCTGGTAGATGGACAAGATGCCAGAGATGATCCGCGCAGGCGGGTGGGTCCGAGGAGGGCGAGTTGAGACAACGGCAGTGGGCCTTCGCGGGCCCCCCCCGTCGCCACGGCTGGACGCAGCTCGGAGAACTTGTGCGTTGGGATCCTGAGGCGTCCGGGGACCGATTTCGAGCTGCCGCTGTCTCACCTCGGCTTGCTCCGAATGTGGGATCTGGCAATGACGAGTCACGAGCGGGAGGAGCAAGAGGCCATGATCATGCAGCCGCTCCAAGATCTCCAGTATTTCTCTAGAACCTCGGATACTTTCTGTTGCTCCGCGAGGGATCCAGAAACGAGGGCCGCTAGATACTCCAGAATTCCTGCAACATATCCAGATTCAACCGCATCAGAGAGACACAGAGAGAGAGAGAGAGACATAGGGATACATATATATATATAGACATATGTCTATATATGTCTATACGCATATATATAGATATATCGAGAGACAGACATATATTTATAGAGAGAGAGAGAGATAGTGAGAGAGAGAGAGCACCTCCTCCTTCTCCTCCCTCCCTCTCCTTCTCTCAATCTCTCGTCGTGCTTTTCTTGGAGGACGATCAGGGGAATGACGAGGAGGAGGAGGAGGAGGTGGAGGAGGAGGAGGAGGAGCAGGATGAAGAGGAGGAGGACAATGTATGAGCAGGAGCAGCAGCAGTAGGAGGATAAGCAGCAGCAGGAGGAGTTGAGTTGCGGGCACCGAAGCAAGGAACCATCCTCCACCCCTGAAGCTCTTGCAAACTTTTGAGACGAAGGCGCGCGGCGCTCGGCCGAGAGCAACTTTCTGAAAGTCACCCGTTCTCCATCCTTGAAGTTGTTGCGAACGTTGAAAGATTTATGTGCGCTGCGCGAAGGCGGAACCACATTTTGAAACGGACCCGCCGTCCATCCCTGAAACGGATGCAGGCTTTTAAGACGGATTTACGTGGCGCTAATGCGAGAGCCACATTTTGAAACCACCCGTTCTCCATCCTTCAAGTTTTTTTTTGTCTCCATAAGTTGAAGTTTCAGGATCATCAATGGTGAGGAAGTCTCAGGGAAAACGCCTGGCCCACCCTACTGACACGTGTGGGCGTGCACCAGGGAGGAGGTATAAGGAAAAGAGATGGAGGGGGAGGAGGAAGACAAAGAGGAAGAGGATAATGGGGAGGAGAAGGGGGAGGATGAGTAGGATGAGGACGATCAGAGTACACCCTACATCTATCAACCGATGCTGCAATATACCCTCCCGTCCCAAATCTCCTCCTCATAAGTCCACAAAGGTCGTCCTTTCCACAGCGGGCGCCACCCCCTGAATGACGAGCGGCCAGTGGTCCGCGAGTCAGACGAGGGCGCCTGCTGTAAAGGATCTTCCCTCAACTTGAAGGACGCCTAGTGTAGCCCTATTTTGAGAAGCGCATGTCCTCCATCCGTCTTAGCGTTGCAGGATGTCAAAGTCGTGGACGTATACTCCGCGGAAGTCCCACGCGAAAGCTCTTCAAGGAGGCCCAGGGATAGCCGGACTTTGAGAAGAACATTCCCTCCATCCGTCTACGCGTTGCAGGATGTCAATGTCGTGGACACATGCGTCGCGGAAGTCTCACGCGAGAGCCCCGCTTCGAAGGATGAGCCACTCTCCACAGGTATCAGCTGTTGCACAAGATGTAACACCTGGTCGTAGAGGTCGAGTAAGGGTCACGTGAGTGTAGATGGTGGACTTTGTATTCGAATGCGCGCCAGGCTAAGGGGAGACCCCAATACGGTAGGGGCGTTTGTTCAGGAATTTGCCCAGGAGACTGCACACCCTGGAGTATTCCTTATTTGATGAGGGTACCGGTGATACCCATGGCCGATCCACGATCGGCTTCCAGACCCTGGATTCCTTATCGAAGGGTTCCGCGTCCAATGCCCCCACCGGTCCGTAGCCATTTTGGCTCAAGGCAATGAACCGTCCCGACGACCGCGAGTCTTTCGGGGCGAATTCTGAGCGCGAGGGAGGTTCCGCTTTGAGGCCACCTTCCTTTCCAACTTGCGAGTGCTGCCACCGCAGCACCCTCCAGGACCTGCGGGTCACGCCTTCTTCCGAGTCGGTGGGTCCGCCCCCGTCGACTCCTGCCTGCCGCACGCCCGCGGCTGAGCAGCACGCCCGCCCGCTCCAGCGATGGGGCCCAAGGCCGAGCCTGGCTTCGTCGTGTGCACGGGCTGCCGCTACCGCTGGAACTTCCGCAAGAACGCGGAGTGCTGGCAGTGTGGGATTGGGCTGGAGCTGGCGCCCTCGAAGCCTTCGCCCCGCGTCGGGGTCTGGGCGGATGGCGGCGGCGGCGGCTCCCCGCCCGCGCATCGTGGAGGCGGCGGCGGAGGCTCACCGAGGGATGGCGCCAAGGGCGGCAAGGGCGGCAAAGGCCGAGGTGCAGCCTCCCGTGGCGGCGGAGGCGGTGCAGCCTCCCGTGGCGGCGGCGTCGGAGGCGCGGGCGGCCGTGGTGGAGGCGCCTTCCCGAAGGCCCCTTGGTCGGCCCTGCCCGAGAGCGAGCTCGACGCGCTCCTCGCCTGCGGGGGCCCCGCCATCGCGGCCAGGCTGCAGGAGGCGGTCCGCGACGCGCGGTGCTTCGTCGCGCCCGCGGCCGCCCCAGCGCCAAAGCCACTCGAGCAGCGGCTGCAGTCGGCCACGGCGAAGCGGATCAACCTCCGGCGCCAGCTCGACGAGGCGGCGGATGCGCTCGTGGCGGCGGATGACCACCTCGCCCGGCGCCGCGGCTGGCGCGACGAGGCTGCGGTCAACCTCACGGAGGCCAAGGAGGAGGAGAACGCCCTCTTGCGCCAGCGGGCCCAGGCGGCTGGCGTTGTGGGGGCACAGCCCGACGGAGCGAAGCAGCTCACCTTCAACTTCGACGCGGAGTCGTTCGACAACTTCGCGGAGCTGGAGGAGGGGGCGCAGGCCACCCTCAGGCGCCTCTGCGAGGAAGGGCTCCAGATCATGCAGGGCGCGCAGGCTACGTTCGAGCGCAACTGCCAGGAGCACCAGCAGCGCATCAAGCGCCAGATCGAGGAGGAGGTGGCCAAGAAGCGCAAGCGCTCCGAGGAGGGGCCTGCAGCAGCCGAGGCCGCTGGCACCCCCGAGCAGGGTGCTGCCGCCCCGCCTCAACCTTCAGGACAGGCGGCCGCCCCTGCTGCCGCCGCCGCCCCAGCCGCAGGCGCTGCGCCAGGAGCTGGACCCCCCCCAGCGGCCGCTGTGGAGAGCCGAGCGGCAGACGAGGCGGCCCGCCAGCGCGCAGCCGACCAGAAGGCCGCTGCGGCGGCCCCTCCACCTGCTGCTGGCGCTGCTGCTGGCAGTGGCCAGACCTGCGGGTAGCACCCTGCTGCCAGGAGGCGGCCCCGACGGTGCGGCGCCGCCCGCCCCAGTCGGGGCTGAGGGGGCAGAGGCGGCGGGGCCCAGCCGCCCCGAGGCGGCGGCGCCATCGAGAGGCGGCCTGCACGCCTACCTGGCGGCCAATGAGCAGGCCGACGCCTGGGAAGGGCTTCCCTTCAGAGTGCCGCTGCTGCGCCAGGACCGGCGCTTTGATGACGCGCGCCACGACACCAAGTTCGAGGCACTCAGCAGCAGTCCAGAGCCAAGCGCTGCGGCGGACTTGGCTGGGCCCGACCGAAGGACTGGCAGTCCTCAGCCCAGCCAGGGGCCCATAAGGAATAGTGGGTACCCATTTCAAGTTGACCAGGCTACGGGCGAGGGCGTGAGACCCCCCGAGGTTCGGAGACCCAAGGCGGCGAGCAGCCGCCCGCCTGGCGGCCGCTCGGCCGCCGCGGCAGTCGTGAAGCCTGCGGCACAGCCTCAGCCTGGTCGACCGCAGGTCAAGCCCCTCCAGCTGGCCAAGCTGATCAGGCCAGTGGGAGCGAAGCGAGCCAGCTTCGTCACACTGAACGGCTCGACCTGGACAGAGACGCAGGTGGAGCTGGAGCGGATCCAGGACGAAGGAGGAGGCGACGACGTCATCCTGGTGCAGGAGACACGCTTCACCTCCAGCCAGAAGGCGACTGACGCCTGCAGCTGGGCCAGGCGCAACTGTTTCAGCGCTGCCTTCGGCAGCGTCCACAGCACGGGGCAGGCGGCCCAGGCGGTCTCGGCGGGCGTCGGGGTGCTGACG